ATGATGTGTTAGTTATAAATGTAATGTTACTAATCAAATGATTTACTCGTGTAAAATACAATCACATGCTAAATGCTTATAGCCCATCTTGTAATTTATGCTTATGTAAACTTCCCTCTTGAATTTCAAAATCTCACTTGCCCCAATCTTTAACCACACCCCATCCTTCTCCCTCTCACCATTCCATTATGACATCATTTAAATCATTTAATATTAGTCATCTCCCTCTTTCTTATCCTTTCACCACTCCTTGTTCTTGTTCAATGCCTCTCGATCATCTCTTATCAGTTCTATCATTTCAGTCTTCGGTTCCTTACTCATTCAATGATATCGGCTTTCCTTCTATCTATTCATCTTCAACCTATCAGTAAGTCCCATAAACTTATCGGTCTTCTTCATTCACTTCAATCTGATCTCCTCATTCATTCCTTCACTTTCCTTCTTCTTTCCTTCTTCAGTCTTTTTTAGTTCATTGATTTCATCCTTTGGCTTTGATTTTCTTCGGCTTTGATTTGCTTTGGCTTTGATTTTCTTTAAGATTTGTTCTAACCGATCGATCAATTCCCTCTTCTAAATCTTCAAATGAATAATGAATAATTAAAATAGGATTTCACTATTTAACGCCCGCAAAAAAAAACCCGAAGCCCCTTTTTGAAAATGACAGGGGGCTGTACGTTTTCCACAGCCCCTTTGCAAAACTTTTTCAAACTTTTTCAAACTTTTTCAAACTTTTTGAAACCTCTGTTTGAACTTTCCGAGTTCGAGTTCGACTTCGTTCAAACTTTTTGTGATTTTGCGTTGTGCGTGTGCGTGTGTAAATATCTCACTTTGTATGTTTTCATGTATGTAATTTCAAACTGACAGCCAGAACAAAGAGAAATCAGAGAACACTAGACTAAGATAAGTGAGAGTGACCGATTTCCAACAGCTAGTTATGTTATGTATTACTCCATGTATGAGTAAGCAGAGAGAGCAGAAAAAGAGGGAAAACAATGTATTACTTCATGTATGTAGCGAGCAGAGAACATATAGAAAGAGAAACAGGGAAAACAAGAGGGAACAACAAAGGTATCGATTTCATTCAAAGCGGGGGAAGGAAATCATCATATTGTCAGAGATTCGACCCACTTATTCAGCTGTGGTTGGTGTTTGCTAATCCACTGAGGTATCTCGGTGGTTTCGAGCATAGCTGAATTCTTGGGGTAGCCATACACTTCCGGGAAAGGAACCGATTTAACAGCCGTGATGCCCAGACTAACAAAGTGTTCGCCATTTACAAAGGCAATCACAATAGGTAGTGGATCGTTATCGTTAGGAGGCGTGCGATAAGGAAAGAAGGTGTAGCAGTTGATGGTTTTAGGGTTCAAAAGTATCACTGGGCGCTCATAAGTGCTTGCAATTACGTAACCCATGAGTGGCATTCGTAACCAGTACTCTTGGGTGCATTCAGCTTCTTGATTATCCAGCCGGACAAGTAGGTCATCCACTACTTCATCAGCAAAAGTTTTGGTCCGGCGAGTTTTGATTGAAGGGGTCGAAATCAGCTGTCTGTGAATATCTTGATTACTCGAGAGTTCTTTCAATAACTGATTCTGAACCGTGAGATAACTTTTTTTCATAGGTAAACCCAGGGATGAGGCTATAGCATCATATCCGCAATTCCCAAAAGACAGTGGATTGAAGATTGAACATATGTATGGAACAGTAAACAGCGGTAGCTGCTTTAAGATGCTCTGCTCAAAGGTACGCTGGAGAGTATGTAAGCCAATTGATTGTGATTGGTGAACGTCTGATGTTGGTAGGTCTTCTGAGTTTGAAGGTTTGGCAGATGTTCCAAACGAGTTGTCTTCCAGTGGAAACACCACAACGCCAAACTCGCGACTAGCTTCCAAAGTGGCCTTGACGTTGGTGTCCTTTCGATCCAATTTCATATCTTCAGCAATCAAGCATAAACTGAGTTCGGGTATAAGGACACGTTGGATCAAGTAGTCAACTGAGAGAGGCTCCAGTAGTTGCACCTTGAGCAAAGGTTCGGGTTCGGAAGTCTTAATGAGCTGATTAAGGGAGCTGGTGATTATTTTGAGGCCCTTATAGCCATAACTGGACAAAAGAGCAATCCATTTAGTCTTTCTAAAGTTTCAATTAGATGAGATGTGAAAACTGCTTACTACCCCGGTTGCTCGACGTGAAATCCATCAAACTGCTTTGCAAAACTCAAGGATCGATTGCCGTGCAGGGCCCACTGCTTCTTGGCCTCTTCCAGGTAGGAAGAGGCTTCTTCACCCTTGATGATTTCACTTAAAATGCCCAGAAACTTCTTGATTCGACTGGTGAAGTGTCATAAAGAGTCAGGTAAGAAAGACTTTTATTACTGATTGTGTAAACACTTACTTATGTAAACCATCAAAATCGATTTCGGTCGGCCAACCCTTGCTTATGCCAGAAGGTATAAGCTCACGCTCAGCCTCATGGAGATGGCAGAATTCAGCGTATTGGCCAAACTGGAACCAAAACAAGAGTCTACACATGTCAGATCAAATTGTAGTATTATAAAGGTGTAAAATATAAGATCAAAGACATACATGAAGCGACTTGACATTGGCCATAGCCATCAGTTGTTCTTTCATATGTAGAAGACGTTTAGATGGCTCTTTCGGAAGCGGATCATCACAGAATGGACACAGAGATAGATTGTGATTGATGGACAATTGGGAAACTTGACTAGCATCCAAATCGGTATCAGAAGAACCTGAGTGATTTGATTCGGAATATGATTCTGAAGTAGTATCAGTTTGAGTTTCATTTGTCAACACCGGATTGTTGACTTTGATGACTGAAAGATTGAGCTGAATATCGGCCTGATCGGTCTTTACATCCACAGCCAATTGATTCGGACAGGTGTTTATTTGGTGACCGGGAGTTTTGCAATGGCTGCATTTCTTCACCCGCACCACATTAGCAGGCCTTTTAACATTTGTAGACGCCTTGGTAGCGAGTTTTTTAGCCTCCTTAGCCGCCTCCTTACCCTTTTGGGTTTCTTCGGCCTCAAAATCTGAAATCCATCGGCCCTGCTGACCCACGTGCAACTTTTGGGTTTTGTGTTTCGGTTTCTCAGTAGATGGAGAGGTTTGAGACATTTCAACTTTTCGTTTCTGGCTGTTGGAAGGTCGGCCACGATTATTAACTTTGACTTCGGCCGATAAGATGGGTACAAGAGAGTATCTTCCAGTTTCCAATCGGGAAATGTCTTCATACAATCTTTGGAGAGTGTGTTCAGGTAGCTCTGAAAGTAAAGCAAATTTGGATTGAGCGGCCACCTTAAGCGCGTTGTGAGTTTCGGGTGCGATGTCCATGGCGAGTTTCCACTGGTCATGACAGAGATTTGGCGATAAGTAGTCAGTTTCGTCTCTAGCCTTTCCGATATCGTGAGAGCACGGAAGCCCCCAAGCCCCACGAAAGGTTCCTGTACAAGGCCTATTGAGTGATTGAGGTAATAGATCATATTGGCTCTTCATTTTCGTGATTGCAAAGTGAGAAACTACACCCGAAACATTCTTGAAAAAAGGTGGAAGGCCTTGAAGGGTTTTTGTCATCTCAATACCCGTGGACACCTTGATTTCGCTGATCTGTTGATCGCCGGCTTGCTTGACAGCATTGAAACAAGTCACAAAATCATTATTGCGGCCTTTGAGAAACTGTTTGAGTCGGAAGTGGCTGCCCTCAACTCGTGAAGTAGAAGAGTTACCGAAGTGGTGATTTTTGGAAGTGAAGAAAGGAACGAATTTTTCGGTCCTATTGAGCCATGTACGTTTA